GCTAAATTAAAAATTAGTACTTTCTTTTATACGTTTTTTGATTTTTTTTTTGTTAATAATGTACATTAATTTATGTTCATTTGTTTTCTTTCTACATCACAAAGTATCAACCTCCCTCATTTTAACAGATAATGTTTCAAAAAATATTTTTCCTCCACCCCTTCAACTCCGGGACCCCCCTAATTTGAAGGGTTAAAGTAAGAAATTAAAGTACTCAACTCTAAGGGTGTCCTCCACTCGAGTAAGTACTTTCTTCTCATCCCAGTTTTGCGAAGACAGCTAATTAAGTTGCTTAACTTCAATAGTACGTCCAGCAAACATGTATTAATCCAAAGTATGAATTCGCATTATAGCTAAAACTTCATTCCCACTTATTAACATTTTAGAAGTCCACACATTGCTTCAAATACCACAGCAACTTTCACAGAAACGATAAGCACTGCCAGAATTTTTTTTTGCTTGGTTTCATAGTTCCTTCCATCATAATTCTTTCATAGAAAAAGATAAGCACTACCATATTTTATATGTATATGATTGAAATATACAGCAAAGTAGTTAGGTACAGCCATTATTAATTCCTTCACATCATAATTTCTTCATAATCCTTACATATTTTCAATCATTTTCATCAATAAGCACCGTTAGATTTTTTTTACTTGTTTTGATAATCTCATCAAATTAGCCACCGTTTTGAATTCAAGAAAAAAAAAAAAATGGATAATTCCAGTAGAAAACTCAAAGATAAAATTCCTAACATTATCTCTCCCATAAACTCCACATCCTAAAAAAATGCAGCATTTCCGTTTCGAAAATTGACATATTAGTACGATCATAAAATTTGTAACCCCTTAATATGTCAAAATATCCAATAAAATAGCCACAGACAATTCTGGAGTTAAGTTTCTTTTCATTTGGCCTATACGACCTTGCCTCAACTGGACAACCCCCAAATGTGCAAGTGCTTCAATTAAAGCTTCTTACTTGTCCAAAGCTCAAAGGATTTTGATAAGGGTAATTACTAATTAGCACATAATATCCCCACCTTTCACTGTTGTTGTGGAAACCGTTCATACATTTCATTTTTTGGTATTTTCACCCTTATTTTTACCTTTCATTGCCCAAAATGTCATTTTTATCTATTTTCTCAATTTAAAATTATGAAATGATAAAAATACCATTCTCTTTAAATAAAATAAAAGAAAAAAGAAAAAAATAATTGCAAAAAGTCTCAACTTTTTTGAAAAATGCAAATGAGTTACAAACAAATTATTAAAAGTGTAATTAGCACATAAGGTCCCTTCCTTTCATTATTATTGCGAAAAATGTCCTTACCTTTTATTTGTAGGCATTTTCTCCCATAATTATAATTTGATAGCGCAAATCATCATTTCTATCCATTTTTCATCCAATTTCTCAATAAAAAATAGTAGGATGCAGAATATACACTCCTATTTAAATAAAAAATCTAAAGAATTAATTGCCTTTTTGATAATTACTTTACTTGGAACTCCATTGAAAATGTAAGCTACAGCCTCTAGTGCTTCTCTCTAGAGAGATTTTGGTAATGTGGAATGACTAATGATACTCCTTATCATGTCTTTAAGTGGTCTGTTTCATCTCTTATTTGCATCATTCATGTTAGAGGATCCTAACATGGTGTATCGTGAGACGATTTCGCACTCCTCTAGGTATTTAGAAAAATGCCCTAGACCTTGTTCTTGTGATACTTCATATCTGCTAGTATTTATTTCCACGGTTAGAATGATGTGTTTTATTATTTTGTTGAGTTGATTTTCAATCCTAGCTTTGTAAGCCTTGAACATATCCAGTGATAGAGATTTCTCATGAGTGAGATACATGTAACTATAATGAGAAAAATTGTCTATGAACGTAATAAATGACAGTTGACCATTCTAAGAAATCGAAGTGAATGACCCACAAATATCCGTATATATTAGTTTTAAGATGTCCGAAATCCTATTGATACCTAATCTCCTTATATTTATATGTTTTCCCTTATTGCAATTAACATAAACACTTAAACCTAAAAATTCGAGGGGATGAAGAATTCCTTCTGACACAAGCTTTTTGATTCTCTTTTAAGAGATGTGACATAATCGTTCGTAATGAAGCGAAATCCTCATTGATTAATTTAGGTTTAATACCACGTGAACTTATATGCAATGTTTCATTATATAAGGCAAGCGAATTAAGCAAGTATATACCATATGAATTAAGAAAAAGACTAAACTGATTATTTTCAAATGAACAAGAATAATCGACTTTGTCTAGTACGTAAATAGAAATCAAATTCCGTCCAAAAGACGGTACTATAAATGTCTTATTCAAATTCAAATAAAAATCAGTCTTTAATAATAATCTAAAAGTTCCTATAGCCTCAACTTCATATATTTTGTTGTTGCCCACATAGATAAACCTTCCAACATTATTTGGCATTCGGCCGTTCAGGCAACCTTGCATAGATACATTTATATAAGCAGGGACACCGAAATTAGTCTGCTAGTATGCCTAGGTACTGAAACTAAATTAACCTCAAAACAAACCGAAGTTAGAGGTGTATCTTTCTTTACGAGTCAAACATGGTATTTGGTACAATCCACTTTTATGCGTCTCGAATTTTCACAAAAGTAATAGTGAGATGATTCATCGTTTTCAGGCTTTTACTTCTTTTTTTTAGCTGAACCAGATGTAGCTTCCTAATTCTTTCTTTTCTTGAACTTGTTCTTAGAGGTACTTGTCAAGTGAGCACTTTCAGTTCTCTCTTACTTTAACCTTTCTTCTTGTTTCGCACAATAAAAGATAAGTTCATTAAGAATTCACTTTTCTTTTTAAAAGTTGTAACTAACCTTAAATTGGTTGAATTGTCCAGGAAAAAGAAAATGGACAAACAAATCATCATACATCTCCAATTATAATGCCTTCAGTTTTGAAGAAAGATGAGACGTCTCCATAATATACTCTCTTATATTCACTTTACCCTGATATTTTAGTAAAACTAAGTTTGTCAGAAGTGTACTAGTTTCGACCTTATCTTGTTTCATAGGC